CCCAGTGTGATGTCGGGAAAGCCGGAGCCCCGGCAGTGTCGGGCCGTGTGTTGCACTGCAATGGGGGGACCCGCAGAGCGGCTCCTGCCCCGTGTGGGGACCCCAGCGAGGGCGGGGGGCGCCGGGCTCCGGCCCTCTGGGCTTTATTATCCGGCACCCCGAGCCCCGCGGCTGCGAGGAAAGAAGGAAAAAGGGACGGGAAGAGAGGAGGGAGAGCGGGGGAATGGAACGGAGGAGCGGGGCAGGGACAGGAGAGGGAGGAGTGCGGGGGGGTCGCGTTTGGGGGAGAGGAGGAGTGAGTTTAGGGGAGAAAAAACAGAAATATGGACAGAAGGAAGGGTAGAGTGGGACGGGAGGGGAGGCCGAAAGGGGACGAGAAGTAAAGGTGAGAAAAATAAGGGGAATACGAGCAGAAGGCAGGAAGGGTAGAAGAGGGGAAGGAGAGAAGGGCGAAGCTGCGGAGCCCGCACAGAACACACCCGTCTGCAGCGCGCTCAACGTGAGCAAATGCCGGCTGCGGCGATTCCCGGCAGTTAAATAACCTCGGCCCCGCCCCGCGCAGGCGCCCTGTGGTCCCGCGCACCTGCGCCAGGACCGGGCCCCGCCCCTGGAGCTCCGCCCCGAGCCCGCCCGGGATGGAGGCGGGGCCATCACTCCCGGGCCCGCCCGAGCGGTGACCGGGGACGCTGGTTCGGTTCCCGGCGGTGCCAGTTCGGCTCCCGGCGGTGCCGCCTCTGCCCCGGCGGGCGGGGTCTGGGTCTCTCTCGGGCCGGAGCACCGGGGCGCTGCCGGGGCCGGGATCCGGGCCGGGCGCCGGGGCCGAGCCGGCGGCGATTTCCCGGTGCTGACTGTGACCGGCCGGGGCCTGGGGACCCCCGTGCCAGCCCCAGCACCCCCAAACCCCGCCGCTCCCCGCCGTGCCAGGGAATTTTCTTTTTTCCAGCCTAGGCCGAGACATTTTTATGAGACAACTCAAAACTCAGGGGTACGGGATCTGAGGGGAGAGAAGAGATTCTGGTAGAAATTCAAAATGCATCCCGAAAAACAACACGGAACAGCTCATTTCCTCTCCCAGCCCGGTTTCTGTGTGATTTCTGGGATTCCAGCTGCTCCGGTGGGATTGTCAGCCTGTGGGGCTGGAATGACTTGCCAGGTGCTAAGCAGGACAGAAAATAACGGGAAAAGTCCCCGGATCTGGCAGTGGAGCCTCTCAGCAGTGCCCCGAAAGCCCAGCAGCGCCCAGCACCTCTGGGTGGAAGCTGAGGGGCTCCAGCACAGCCCCTCTGCAGTGTTCCTCTGGAGCCGACACTGCCCAGCATCCCTGACCAGGGTTTGGGGGTCCCAGCACATCCCCCTGGCACAGCCCCCGGCTTCTTCAAGTTCCCTTTAACCAGGATGATTTTCTCGGGGGTAGGAGCACCCAAAGCCAGCAGAACTGGCCTGAGCCACTTTCTGTGGGATCTCTCCTCTTCCTTCCTCACCAAATTCCACTGTCAAAACCCAGCTTGAGACACAGATCCCCAGCCCCTCAATCTCTCCAAGGAATTGGGCTTGGATTTCCCAATCCAGCAGGGCAGAAATGCTCTTGTCCTTACTGTATATCCTAATTGCAGTACTTGCCTAAGAAATAATTGAAAGAAATTAAAGGAATGAAGAGAAATTAAATAAGAGCTGCCAGCTCCAACTAAGGGATGCTCAAACCCCTTATCAATAATTTGCTTTAATTAACCAACTCAAACAAAGTAATTGACACCACATTGATACAGTATGATTCTTTTTAATTGAGTTATAGATAAATATTGCAAAATATAAAAACTTTTGTAAACCCAGAAACTCTTTTAAGAGAGAGACAGGGCACAGCTGCAGAGAGAGTCTTGGGGTTCAGGGAAAAACCCAAAGTTTTCAGTGTTCAGCATCTTCCACCATGTCGTCATTGACAGCAAACATGGCTTCAGCCTCAGGAAGACACGGAGAGTCAGGGATTTTACAGATCCTGGTCTCACCTCAGCCTTACAGCAGGTACAGTCTGCAGGGAGAGGGACGAAAAAGGGTCAGAATGGACAGCCTACTTCCAGAAAATCATCACCATTCATAAAGCAGTAAGCAGAGCTGTAAGAACTTCCCAAAGGTTCATTTCCCTGCCAACTGAGGGCTCTAAGCTGAAGCACGGGCTGGACCTGCCATGGACAGACTCCAGGAACCCCAGAAGTAAAAGCTACTGGGCCAATTCCATAAAATATTCCAAAATCAGGCTCCTAGGATGTGACCATCTCTTCTCTCACCTGGTGGTGGAAGCACAAGTAAGATCTTCCCTCCTGTGGGTTTTCTGGGATCTGCAGTGAACTGCAGGGGGAAGAAAAGCCCAGGCATTTCCCACGACTGGAACAGAAAAGTGGGGAAAAGGGATGCAGGGGCACTCCTGGGGTGATAACTGGGATCCAACCTCTCCACACCAATGGAAGCAGAGATGAGTGACAAAGCCTTTGGGACCAGTTTGCTGGGATTCATAAGAAAACAGATAAGTTTTATTTTGGCAATAAAGCCAAGCTGGTTATCACCTCATCAGCCGGGTACAGCAGCAGCATCTGCAGGAACCTGGCCAGGTGGGTCTGCCTGGCAGGGGGCTCTCCACTTCCTGGGAATCTGTGTGGTTGAGATCTGTACAATTTTCCTAAGCCAGGCAAAAAAGAAAGCCAAATCAAACCAAAACAAAAACTAACATAACAATGGGGAAAAAAAAACCCAACATATCCAGCATATTTCAAGATGGTTTAAATCAAAATGAGGTTACTTACTTAGAAAGCTTGAAAAGCTGCAGTGCTGCAAAAATGTAATGCTGCAAAAAAAAGCCTTTTCTTACATCACATTTTAGCCCTGAACTTGCAAAAAAACCCCGCCAAACTAACAATTCACCACATACAGTTCTTGAGTCATTCCTGTCTTTGAGCACGAGTCAAGCTAAAGCTATTGAGACAAGAAAAACATAAGTGACTTAATGCTGCTCCTTTGGAAATTACAGAATCACAGGGAGGGTTTTCCTTAGCTTAGGAAAGTGCACACCCAGTTCAGCAGATACTGAATAGCAGGGAAGTCAGGAGATAAATGTTTTGCTTTCAGAGACAAAAATTTAAATAAATATTTACATTAAACCAGAAGTTACACTATTTGCTCCCAGCTCTTCCTACCTGCAGTCACAAGATTTTAGTAGAGCAAAACATCAACTTGATTTGTGATGTTAGATTTCAATACAAAGCTACAGTAAAAGCATTAGGTCCATTTGCATGAAAGGCAAGAAGAAACATGACTAAAAGTTAAGTGAAGATCTGTAGAAATGAATCAGAACTAACTAGAAACAATACCAAATTACTGAGACATAAATAGGAACCTTATGCTGTGCTTGATAAACAGAAAATGCTAATTACCATGAAAATTGCAGGAAAAGTTACTGAAAATCTTGCATAACACAAGATACCAATGACATGCTACAATGCACTCTGGGTGAAATAAGCTGTTCTGAAGAAACTAGTGAAGAATTTTAAGGTTTCACAGAGGTGATTAGAGAAAGAATGATACGAGGTTAAATCTCACCCTTTCCAGCACCTCTTGCAGGACAGCTTGACTTTCAAGAGTAAGCAGCTCCTCATGAATAACAGCTTGCTTTCCTGGAGTTCCTAGAATATAGCTGAGATGCCACAGTTTAGATCATGCACTTCTCACTCTGAAGCCAAAAACTCAGACACAGCACTCCTCCAAAACCCTGAGAGGCAGCCATGGACTCTGGGGCTGCAGGATGCAGTGAAAAATTGCACAGACACCAGGAACAGTGCAGCGCTGGCTGGGAGAAGCAGAGTTACTCTCCAAGAAATGTGCCATTCTGCAGCCAGGTTAGTGCTGTAGAGAATTTTACTGCCAAAAAAGAAGGTATCATAGCTGTAGAATAAAGAAAGAAACCCAAAGGCATGAGGGTGAACATCCACAGCAATACAGCAAAATAAATGTGAACTTCAGAAAAAAACAGAGGCATTAAAACTAGTTCAGGTGAACACTGTCCATCAGAACAATGCTTGCATAAAAGAACTCTGGCATAAAGCCTTGATTCACGATATAGTTACTAAAGAATACCTTAAGACCACTTTTCAGTGCTATAAACTGACTAAACCCAAGCACACTTTCATTTTCTAGACAGATTTTAAGAGGGCTGAGTGAGAGTGTCAAGCACATACTCAGCTGTCAGATTTGCCTTTGCCCACTTATTATAAAGTGACATAAAAGTGACATAAAGTGACATAAAAGTGAGTTTTCTCAACAAGTTGGAGTCAAACTAATCAGTCATCAAGTTTAGATATTAACACTTAAAGTGACCACTAAAAGCATTAGACACACCTCTGAGAATACAGGGGGCTAAAAGCAAAGAACAGAAAGTTAAAAAAAAAATTAAAATGTCCCAAGCAAACCCCCCAGAGAGAGAGAGAGAGAGAGAGAGAGAGAAAGAGCCCATTCCACCTCAAAATTTAATATCATGTGCCAGCAGTACACTGCAAAGAAAACAAAAATAAGAGAAAAGCAAGTGCCCAGCCATAAGAGTTCAGCAGCCTACTGTAAGATCTCAGCCATCCTGGGAGCTTAGGCTTTTAACCCTTTCCTGAAAAAAGAAAACTTTACAAAACCTTACTCCTGCTTAATCTAAAAGAGAGGCAGCCCAAGACCTGAAATGTCAGAAGAAAATGAGAGAAGAATCCTAAGTAGAAAGAAATAATAGAGTAGCCTTAGCTAGACTTTTCTTGTATAGCCATAGACTAAACCAATTTTCTCCTACAACACACAGACTGCATTTTTAAGAGGATACAATGACTTAAGCTAAAAAAAGTACAAGAGTAAAGTAAAGAAAGAAAAAAAGTTAAAGAGAGTATATTAGTACCCTCTAGCTTAAAAAAAACCCCAAAAAACATCTCTGTTTTTGAGACCCTCGGCCCCAGGGGAGGAAAAATGGGGGGGGACTGTTATCCCAAAAATAAAGAACTGTTATTGTTTTAGTCCTTAGCAAAGCATCCTTAAAAAGAAACCCTGTAAGCAGCTTCAGTCCACTCAGACTGGTGAGAGCACTGCGACATGGAAGGGAAAGTGCCACAATAGCAAATTTTCTCCAGACAGTACCATGTGTGACATAGAAACACAAGAAGTTACAACTGTGTTTCCTAGAGATCTATAACACAAGAGAAACTCCTCTCTCCCTTGATAAACTAAAAATGAATTATCTAAAGAATAGTAACTTGATCAAGAACACAATTTCTCATACAAAAGGCAGACCTGGCTGTTTGGTTTTTTTTTTTTCTAGCATTTGCCTTACACAGGTGATGTTCCTCACAACTGAGCACTCTGATGCCAACAGCAGCAATACGGAAAACCACTCTGGGACAGAGCAGCAGGAAAAGCTGCCTCGAGACTTCCCAGAGATATGACAGGAGCACCCTCAGTGTGATGCCTGGTGAGTGAAATGGAGCTGGCAGGCTGACCCACAAACATTCTGTATTTACCTGTCCATGGAGCCAATACTCAAACAGAACAAATCTCTCTCGTAGTCGAGGTTCCTTGAGGTGCACCTGTAGATGCTGCCAAGTGTCCTTGAGCAGTCAGAGCAGAATAAGGTTTCTAGCATGCTGTAAGAAAGAAATAACATTTATTCAGAAGAAAATAAAAGGAAGCACCTCTCCCCATCCATTTTCTTAAAAAAAAAAAAAATAATGCATTAGAATTTTTTAAAGCATTTATTCTTGCTTTACACAGTGTAAATTATGAGCTTTCATCTTTCAGTCTGAGTTTGCCACAGCTCCTCAGGCTGACTGATCTCAGGAAGACCATCAGAATCACTAAACGGTGGTCGGGACATTAAAGCTCATCCCATTCCACCCCCTGCCGTGGGCAGGGACACCTCCCAGTGTCCCAGGCCAGGCTGGACACTGGGGCTTGGAGCAGCCTGGGACACTGCCAGGGATCCAGGGGCAGCCACAGGGGCCTGGCCACCCTCACCGGGAAAAACTTCCTGTGATACTCACCTAACCCTGCCTTCCTTCATCCTGAGGCCATCTCCATTCCAATGGCTCCGTGTCCCTGTGAGGAATCCCTCTGCCTTGGGCCACAAGCGCTTGTACAGAGCACCCCACATCAGAGTTCCAGGGGCTCTGGGGGCACACGAGCACTCGGGGCCCTCGGCCAGGCTTGTCCTCAGCACCTTGCCCGCGAAGCCCCGGCTGTGCCCGGCCAGGACCGGCGCTGTGCCCGGCCAGGACCGGCGCTGTGCCCGGCCAGGACCGGCTCTGTGCTCGGCTCTGTGCCCGGCCAGGACCGGCTCTGTGCCCGGCTCTGTGCCCAGCCAGGACCGGCTCTGTGCCCGGCTCTGTGCCCGGCCAGGACCGGCTCTGTGCCCGGCTCTGTGCCCGGCTCTGTGCCCAGCCAGGACTGGCTCTGTGCCCGGCCAGGACCGGCTCTGTGCCCGGCGCTGTGCCCGGCTCTGTGCCCGGCCAGGACCGGCTCTGTGCCCGGCCAGGACCGGCTCTGTGCCCGGCGCTGTGCCCGGCCAGGACCGGCTCTGTGCCCGGCCAGGACCGGCTCTGTGCCCGGCGCTGTGCCCGGCTCTGTGCCCGGCCAGGACCGGCTCTGTGCCCGGCGCTGTGCCCGGCTCTGTGCCTGGCCAGGACCGGCTCTGTGCCCGGCTCTGTGCCCAGCCAGGACCGGCTCTGTGCCCGGCTCTGTGCCCGGCTCTGTGCCCGGCCAGGACCGGCTCTGTGCCCGGCTCTGTGCCCGGCTCTGTGCCCAGCCAGGACTGGCTCTGTGCCCGGCCAGGACCGGCGCTGTGCCCGGCTCTGTGCCCAGCCAGGACCGGCTCTGTGCCCGGCTCTGTGCCCGGCTCTGTGCCCAGCCAGGACCGGCTCTGTGCCCGGCCAGGACCGGCTCTGTGCCCGGCCAGGACCGGCTCTGTGCCCGGCTCTGTGCCCGGCCAGGACCGGCTCTGTGCCCGGCTCTGTGCCCAGCCAGGACTGGCTCTGTGCCCGGCCAGGACCGGCGCTGTGCCCGGCTCTGTGCCCGGCTCTGTGCGCAGCCAGGACCGGCTCTGTGCCCGGCTCTGTGCCCGGCTCTGTGCCCGGCTCTGTGCCCAGCCAGGACCGGCTCTGTGCCCGGCCAGGACCGGCTCTGTGCCCGGCTCTGTGCCCAGCCAGGACCGGCTCTGTGCCCGGCCAGGACCGGCTCTGTGCCCGGCTCTGTGCCCAGCCAGGACCGGCTCTGTGCCCGGCCAGGACCGGCTCTGTGCCCGGCTCTGTGCCCGGCCAGGACCGGCTCTGTGCCCGGCTCTGTGCCCGGCTCTGTGCCCGGCCAGGACCGGCTCTGTGCCCGGCTCTGTGCCCGGCCAGGACCGGCTCTGTGCCCGGCTCTGTGCCCGGCCAGGACCGGCGCTGTGCCCGGCTCTGTGCCCGGCCAGGACCGGCTCTGTGCCCGGCTCTGTGCCCAGCCAGGACTGGCTCTGTGCCCGGCCAGGACCGGCGCTGTGCCCGGCTCTGTGCCCGGCTCTGTGCCCAGCCAGGACCGGCTCTGTGCCCGGCTCTGTGCCCGGCTCTGTGCCCGGCTCTGTGCCCAGCCAGGACCGGCTCTGTGCCCGGCCAGGACCGGCTCTGTGCCCGGCTCTGTGCCCAGCCAGGACCGGCTCTGTGCCCGGCCAGGACCGGCTCTGTGCCCGGCCAGGACCGGCTCTGTGCCCGGCTCTGTGCCCAGCCAGGACCGGCTCTGTGCCCGGCCAGGACCGGCTCTGTGCCCGGCTCTGTGCCCGGCCAGGACCGGCTCTGTGCCCGGCTCTGTGCCCAGCCAGGACTGGCTCTGTGCCCGGCCAGGACCGGCGCTGTGCCCGGCTCTGTGCCCGGCTCTGTGCCCAGCCAGGACCGGCTCTGTGCCCGGCTCTGTGCCCGGCTCTGTGCCTGGCTCTGTGCCCAGCCAGGACCGGCTCTGTGCCCGGCTCTGTGCCCGGCTCTGTGCCCAGCCAGGACCGGCTCTGTGCCCGGCCAGGACCGGCTCTGTGCCCGGCCAGGACCGGCTCTGTGCCCGGCTCTGTGCCCAGCCAGGACCGGCTCTGTGCCCGGCCAGGACCGGCTCTGTGCCCGGCTCTGTGCCCGGCTCTGTGCCCAGCCAGGACCGGCTCTGTGCCCGGCTCTGTGCCCGGCTCTGTGCCCAGCCAGGACCGGCTCTGTGCCCGGCCAGGACCGGCTCTGTGCCCGGCGCTGTGCCCGGCCAGGACCGGCTCTGTGCCCGGCCAGGACCGGCTCTGTGCCCGGCTCTGTGCCCGGCCAGGACCGGCTCTGTGCCCGGCTCTGTGCCCGGCCAGGACCGGCGCTCCCCACCCGCACCCGCCGGGCGGCTCGGAGCCCTCACGGCCCGGGCCCGCGGCGGCCGCACCGCGGCGGGAGGAGGAGGGAAGGAGGGATGGCGGCAGGGACGGCCGGGCCGGGAGGAGGGAGGGAAGGCGGCAGGGACGGCCGGGGCGGCACTAAAAGAACGGCCCCGAGGCACCGCCTCCGAACGGCCCCGAGGCACCGGCGGCGCTGCCCGCGGACCCCGGCCCGGAGCCGCCCCCGCGCCTGCCCCAGAACCGCTCCCGGGAAAAAGGAGCGGAAAGTTACTCTGAACCACCTCTAGAAAAGTTTTGCTGTGCATTCAGATCAGCCGAGTGTTTATTGCCTCCGGACTTAGAAAATGGTGTAATTATCCACATCCTTCCCTACAGAAAATCCTGCACTCTAATATTGCAGAGCAACGTTTGGTGCTGCTGGGACCAGGCAAATTATGAGCAGCTCCTCTGATTCTCTTAATTTTAAAGTTAGGGCAGATGATTACCCCCAAATTTCACGGGGGAAACCCCAAACTGCTTAGCTAAGCTAGATGTAAGTCTCTGGCATGTGGCTGCTGTAGCAAAACCCAAAAATCAGGAATAAACTTTCCCCCTGTTTTCTCCTTAATAACATTTTGCTACCATTTGGATCACCTGGTGCTTAACAGAGGTGGCATTTGTGGTGTGGCACTTCCCTCCCTGGCAATTGACAGGGTATTTTTCTTCAGCTGCCTTGAAATTTTCTTGAAATCTGTAAAAACTGTGCTTCTGAGGCACGATGCTCGCCCTCTGTTAAATTTAATTGAAATTTGCTGACAGTTTTGTGGAGGAAATTACCCCCTATGTGCCTAAGAGTGACCTTATCAGCCTTATTTCCATTAAAAAGCAGGGTAAATTGATCTCATAGTGACTTTTTAGTCCCACTTGTTCTGACCCCACCCAAAAGAAGTAGAGAAGTCTGCCACCTTTCAGGTATTTTTATACTCTAAGAAGATGTAAATAGACATCTTCTAGACATAGAGGAATAGAGAGTGCATCCTCTTGGTACTATTATTCTTCCTTCTCCAAATACCAGTGGAAGAACAGTGGGTTACAAGTTCTCATGAAAACACCAAGGGAAACAATTCCCAACAGCTGGTTGGGATTTTTAATTGTTTTGAGCAAAGGTACCAGTCAAGCAATGAATAGACTTTGTGTGTCTTTGCATAACATTTACATTCTTATTCCCTGAGAAGCTGCTGCTGGGATTATCGGCTCCATGTGCTCAGGGCCATTGCTGGGGCAGCCCCAGGGAATTGTACAGTTCCATAGCCCTGCAATGGGATTGCAGTTCCCTCATTCAGCTTTGCCTGCTAGGGGATTTTTTATTTTTTTGTAATGTGAAACACAGACCTAATTCTCTGCACTTATTTTCCTCTGTTACGTGGCTGGTCCCTGAAACATGTTGAGACTGAATTTGTCTCATACAAATGAATCTAAACCCAGAGAAAAAGCCATGATCTTGCTTTCTATTTGTAAAGTTGTGCATCTCTCTCAGTTTTGTACGAAAATAATGAAAAATCTTAATTGGCCCATGATCTAATAGGCTATTTATAAGCATGTACACACATATGCACAAGATGTGATGGTAAAATTTAGCAATAGGAAAGCTTTTTATAGACTGGTAAAATATGAAAACACAGGATTCCAGCTAAAGAACAACAACATAAAAAACCAAACCAACAAAAAAAAGAAAAAAAAACCAAAAAAAAAAAAAACCAACAAAGAAAAACAAACTGAAAAACAAAAAACGCAAACAAACAAAAACCAACTAATGGCAGAATTTAAACCCAGGAAATTTTGGTTCAAGCTCCACCTGAGCCCTGGAGCCAATTTATTTGGCTTCAGGGAATTCCATGAAATCTATTATAGCTGTTTTTAAAACATAAAGCCAAAATAGCTCTGACAGGAAATTCTATAAATCCAGACTTAATTTCTGTCCCAATGGTGTGGAACACTTCAAAACCTTGGGCTTTTCAAAATGTCCCTGGTCAAAGGAAGAATAAAATAAGCTACCTACCCCTCCCCACTGATATTTTTCAGTAGCCCAGCCCAAACTCCTGTTTCTGATAAGAGAACAGCTGGGCCAGCTCTAGTTATGGGTTTAAAAGGAGCTGGGCTCATTCCCTTAATCTCTTTGTGGCTTTGATGCCAACACATACTGAATTTTTCACAAAGAAGCACTCAGTCAAACATATCGGACCTGTTTCAAAGAACACAATGTTTTCCGTACTTTCAGATTTATTTTGTCTTGGTCAGTATTTGTCTCTGGAGTCAGTGACCCTTCTTTTTCCACCTCATCTGAAGTGAACCCCCAGGTGTGAGTGCAAGCACCCAAACTTCCCAAGGCCCCAGCAGCACCACAGTGACCCCAGGAAGGAGCGTTTTGGAACCAGTGGCACCTTTGGGTGCTGTGGGAGCGGGAGCGGATCCGTCCCCTCCCTCAGTGAGCCCAAGGCTCAGGCAATAAAATTGGCACAGCACTGAAGCCTCCATGAAAGAGCAGCTCCCTTTGCTCCCCCAGCACCTCACACTCCCACTGAACCAGCTGTGGACACACTTTGGCACTGCAGCCCTCTTGTTCCTGAAATAAATCATCTGCTCCTGACAAAGCAGGCAACATCTTGCCCTCTTCCATGGTGGCTGCAGGGGCACTGCAGCTGAACAGGGCAAGGGCACATTCTCTTCCACTGCACTGATGTGCTGGGAGGTGTCAGAACTCAAAATGTCCCTCAGACATTTCTGGAGGTTCCAGGCCCTGGTCAGAAGCATTTGAGACCCTGGCAGGCAGCTGGAAACAGCTGTGATTTTGGGTTTGAGCCATGGAATGATTTACCAACCTTGCAGGAAGAACAAGAAGTCACAAAAGTTTAGATATTATAGTAGAAGTAGTCACAAAGTAGAGGGAAGAATTTGTGAGTGCTGTACAGGGGGGTTTTGGTTTTGTACATGGGGGTCAGAGGTTTTAAGATGGAGGGATTTGGGCCTGTCCTGTCCTCCCTCTTTCTTCTTCCTTACCTCCATCTTCTTGGTGATGTTGGCACTCACAGATTGGTTTAGAGTAGAAAGGCACCATTTAATATAGGTAATGGGCATTGGGGAAAAACTGTAAACATGTAACACGTAATGTACCATATAAAAGAGCAGCAGCAGCCCTGGGCGGGGAGAGAAGAAGCAGTCGGGAGTCAGAGAGGATGTCAGGGTGTGTGTGTGCCTCTGCCTGAGCTGTGAGCAAACCACAGCAGCTCAAGGAGAAAATCTTTTAGATAACTTGCAATAAACTGCCTTGAGACCGGACAACAGAGACTGCTGAGCCTTTCTTTGGAAGCTCGGGTTGGAGGAGAGACTTTTCCACCACACGGAGCCACCCCTGACCCAGGGTGAGCTCTGGCAGGAAGGGGCACAGGCACTTGGCAACAAACTCCCCTTGCTATTTCTCTTGGTATAAACTGCTCTCAAGGCTGGAATTCCCCTCCTGAGAGCCTCTCCCCAAAGCTCCTGCAGGATTAGGCAATAACCACTCAGGCTTCCTGCACTGTGGTTGTGTAAAAGGAGCCACGTTCCAACATCTGCACAGGTCCAGTCACCAGAACACTCTCCGGAGGCTTTTCCCAGCCCTTCCCTCATCCCTGCTGGAGGCTCCCAAGACCTTTAACAAATTGGCACTTGGAGTGCTCTGTCTGAAAGGAGACACGGAATGGATCACACAGCGCACCTTTACTAGAGATGATAAAGCCCCTTGCTGTGTTTTATTTCTGCATGCAGAATGCACGTGGACAGAATTACCCTGCTGTGCCCACAGACTCCATCGTCATTGCCTTTTGGGTCGGCCTTGCTGCGTTGGTGGCGTTTCTTTTCCTTATTTTGCTGTGTGTGTTCTGCTCCGGATCAACGCCAGCAAAGTATAACCAGAGATGAAGTAAGTAGGTACTGGTGTGAAAAATAACCTGTAGGAAAGAAACATTCAGTGCCTCCAGTGACCCAGCAATGACACATAACCTTCATAACTGCACAGAGGGGACACTTCTGTCAGTATTTGGTCAGAGTGTCTCTTGACCCACTGCTCCTCCTTACCTGATCAGAAAATTCAGCTCAGCAGGCTGGGCGGAGATTCAGGATTAGGTCACAAACAAGCAGAGGGAAACAGCAGTCAAAGGGAGCACTAATATTCTCATTTATTGGCACCCTAGGGCCTCTGGCACGCTCACAAAAGGCAACAAAAACAATAAAAAAAGACAGTTTACCCCCCAAATAAACCACAAAGCAGGAGGCAGACTAACAACACAACAGACATGGAAATGGATGTGAAATTGCAGGGTAACAGAGGGATGCTACCAAAAATTTACTGTTCCTAAAAAACTGGAAGGAGAAGTCTGTGTACTTGAAAATCTTGGAGTTCTTGCAAGACTTAAACAAAGTATTCATTTTTAAATCTTTTTGCACTTTTTCATCATGTTACTGAGCAAAATACTTGGCTTAAAAATACACATATTTATCCCTCGCATATTCAATTCTGGCCATCAAAGGAGCTATTGTGAACAAGGCAAGTCTAGAAATGTTTTCTGGAGTGCCCAGAAATCATTAATGAAAAACAGCATTCAATGAGATTTGTTTAGGCTTTGAAACCATCCTATGTTATCATTTTTCTAGGTTTGAAACATACCGTGAGAAAACAATTTTAGGACTGAAGAAACTATTAAACCCAGTTGCACACAAAACTTGTCCTTTTTGCTTGAGTTCTGTCTGTTTTTTAAGCTCCACTTCAATTCCACTTCTCCCAATTCCAGCACCGAAACCCAGTGAAGTGCTTGACAGGAGCCACTGGTGTAAACTTGCACCCCCTGCCCTGTCATCCTCTCTGCTGTGTCTGCCCTTGGCATGACAATCATCCAGTGTCTCTGTGGAAACCCCACGTCTCTTTTCTTACAATAATCTCGATACACTCACCCAACAAACACACGTTCACATCCTGGTCAAGGCTGGAGAACTTTTACCTTCATTGTTTCTCTGCTCATCCATCTCTGTCAAGCCCAGGGACATGCAGGACCTCCTGTGCTCTCCCAGCTTACCCACGTCCTGGTGAGAGGAGGCAGCTTCTCTGGGCACCCTGTGCCAGGACCTGTCCACTCTCCCAGCCAGGAATTCCTTCCCTAGACCCCATCCATCCCTGCCCTCTGGCAGTGGGAGCCATTCCCCGTGTCCTGTCCCTCCAGGCCTTGTCCCCAGTGCCTCTCCAGCTCTCCTGGAGCCCCTTCAGGCCCTGGAGGGGGCTCCGAGCTCTCCCTGGATCCTTCTCCTCTCCAGGGGAGCACCCCCAGCTCTCCCAGCCTGGCTCCAGAGCAGAGGGGCTCTACCCTTCAGAGCACCTCCATGGCCTCCTCCGCGCTTGTTCCAAAAGCTCCACATACTTCTTGTGCTGGAGCCCAGGGCTGGGGCAGCTCTGCAGGTGGGGTCTCACCCGGGTGTGGGAGAGAGGCAGAATCCCCCCCATTCCCCCACCTCTTTTGATGCAGCATTAATGCAATTTTGGCTGTGCATGACACCCATCTCTTCCCCCACTGCGTAACTCCAAGGGTTAACTCTCCTGGCAAGGGCCCTCTGGAGCAGAGCCCCTTGTTCTTACCTGCACATCTGCCCACAAACCAGGCACTGCCATGGTGCCTTCCAAAGGCCACACAACAGCTCTCTCTACTTAGGCCACAGTGGAATCCTGAGACACAGAGAGGTCCTGGATGGAATCCTTGATATGGGACCACTGATTTCAAACCCATCTGCCTGCCAAGGCAGCTGATGATCACGCTGCTGGGATGCAGAGCATTAACATTTGCTTCAATGATGTGTATTAACATCCAAAATGACACAGAAAAATAAGGGTTTGTGGCCAGAAATGGTTCCTGGCTGAGGCTGGAACTTCACACAGCAGAAGGAGGACAGGGCCAGCTCCTTGCAGGTGTCCCATGCACTTCACTGGAGGCTGTGCGTTCCTGATAGCCATGCACAACACAATTCTTCTGGCTATCACCTTCCTACCAGACGGTGTCATGTTGGAGAGAAACCCAAGCTGGATGCCCAGAGAGTTGGAAGATCTGCATGTCTCATCCCTCATCCCTGTTTCTTGCTCTTGGAGAGACTCAATCCAGGACCCCGGGGCTCCCTGCTGGCTCCAGACAGATCTCTCACCATGAAGAACTCCATTCAGTATTTGGATGTGGGGTACGAGCACCCTCACAGTAAAGTACAGATGTGCAGCTGCCTTCATCCTTCCAATCACACCTCCCTCAGAAAATTATATCAGACATTGTCACTGCACTTGTCTTTGTCCAAACCCAGAGTCGGGAATTAGCTTCCCTGTCCTTTGAAAGACTTTTTCAGTTGTGTCTTATCTCAGCTCCAGTTCTGTGATTTTGCCTGGGCCCAGGTCAGTCGCAGCACTGCCTAAGAGTGACCTGCCCTGACCAGGTGGGTCTCTGGGTACTGGGGCACTGGAACTCTTCCAGCCTCCTCTCTGCTGTTCCAGGTTGCTTAACAGCTAACAGAGCTGGCCAGAGCTCTCTTCAGACACTCCCCAGGTCCCTGGGATGCAAGTTCTCCAGCTGATTTTAAAATATGGATAGCTAGCTGGTGGTGTTTGGCTGCTTGATAGACAGGAAAGAAAACATCCTCTTTTGCTAAGAATTATTTTTTTTTGTCTTCCTTCTGTCAAACAAAGAGGAACCATGTCTTGAATACACCTGCAGCACAGCAAAGAAAATTCCAAACCTGCCTGCCTGTGCTGGGCCTGCTGCTGAGACACATGCACAAACAGTCTTTTTGGTTCTTCGAAAAGATAAAAATGCCTGTAATAAAAATTACACAATTGTAATTACATTACGTATTGTCTCTCAAACTGTTCAAGAAAAGGGAAATTGGAGCTTTAATGTCCCACTGAGAGATGTTGAATCAAATCTTCCCCGAGTTTGCACCCAGTAATAAAATACTGGTTTTTCTGACCAAACAAGGTAGGTCTATATGAGAACAGCTCAGGAGGCTCTCACAGTGATGCTGATGGAGCAGAGAAGAATGTTAAAGGTGAAGTGTTAGTCCCCTGAATTAATGCCCTGATGGAGCCAAATTTCTTGCAAAGAGACATAACAGCTTCTTCCCCTTGTTTCTGAGTGTCTGAGTCACCCTGTAACTCATAATCTGCACTAGTGCAGACCAATCTGACACGGGTAAGTAACACATCCAGCTCCTGTGTTCCAAGGCACATGTCTCCAAGGTAAACGGAAGTCAGGAATACAGACACAGCTGTGGAAAAAAGAGAAGACAAAAATCAGAACAGATATTCTTCTATTTCCCCACAGGATTACCAAACCAAGCTGCTTGCTACCTCCAGGACTATGTTTTAAAAGAGTTCCCTAACTCTTTTCCTAGCTGGAAAATCCAGAGTGGCTTTGTCCATGCAAAGCCAACGATCCTACTCACAAGAAGGAACAAACCAGCTTCCTGTTAAATAAAGCAGTTGGAAATCTGACATGTCAGATGCTCTCAATGACCAGCAATAGGGATCAGCATCCAGGCCCACGTGGAGCTGGGTTTTTTTGCAGACTATTTTCCCTCTTGGAATTATATTTCTTTTACACCTTTTATTCCATTTCAGTCCCTGAAAGGGAAGTTTCTTAGAGGGAGTGGGAGTGTTGAAGTGTCAGAAAACCTCACAGTGTGATCACGCTCTGTGCTGCCCACCCCTGCCCCAGTCCCACCAAAGACACAGCTTCTGCTTTGGGAAGCCACGAGCCTGGGTGGATATGGGAGAGCTGATTGAATGGATTTAAAAAGCCATGGAATTTCCTAGTTTCTCCCACCTCTGCCTTGTAACACGAGTGATAAGAACAAGACAAGTCACCTGTCTTGTCCGCATCCTCTTCCACCATTCCACCGGCGCTGAGGGTCTCCCCTCCCTGTGTGGACAAACAGGGTCCCAGTGGGCAAGGATGGAATTCAGATGTTCTCTGCATTTCTCCAGCTCAGGCACTTCCACGTCTGCAGCAGCATCATCTTCTCCCATCCCGTTCTTTTTCCGAGTGTGACGATACACACGAGATGAGGCTTGGGGTTTGTTCTTGTCTTTAATATTTTCTGTAAGGAGATAACCACCATCAAAACAAACATCAGATACTCCAAAGGATTTTCCTGGAACAAAATTGTGCCAGCAAGGTGCTCTCCTGTGCTGATTCAGTTGTTACAATGGCAAGTACCAGCCTCGTTCAGCAGCCTGATGGAGCCTGTGCTGTTCAAAGGGGCTCCAGGAGCTCCCAGGGACTCCAGGCTGGAACCCTGCTCCAAACTGGACACGAGAGAAGCTCCTGAAGCCTGGAGCAACACAACCCACACATGCACTAAGTTACAGGCATCACTCCACAAACCCTCTTCATGTCTTTCTGAGGAGTTTTAAAGGGTGAAGAAACTGTAGAAAAGCTAAAGCTTTTACAGAATCCCTAAATACATGACACTTTCTTAATGATACAGAACATTTAAACAAACCTACAGAAGCTTTAATGTGCACCAAAAGCAGCAGCTGCTGCTGCAGGAAACCAGTGCTGCTTTAAGACCTCCCACTCCCAAGTTCCTTGCACTTTTTGTTCACAAAGAGAACAAGAGAAGTCACACAAGTCCTGGGTTTTTTTCCTTTATTTAAAACTGGTGACAACAAGAGACACCAATTATTAACTTTTGCTTGTTTTACTTACACATCTCTTTCAGATCCCCATTCACAGCTTTGAGCACAAAGCCTCCAGGCACTGCTTCTTCTCTTAAGATTTCATTAAAAATACCCTTTTGCAAAGTGTGACTCAAGATTTGCCACTAAGTTTCATTTTAAAGCTCTTTCCCCTCATGAACTGTGTTTCTCCAAAGCTTCCAAATTGTGTTAAGGTTCAAAATCACCACAAGGAAGATCTGAAAAATGCCTTTCCATTTCCTTTCCTCCTCCCCCAAGGTACATCAGTCAGGCAGAAGGTGTTAGTACTACTGCCAGAGAAGTTTGCCTCATTTGAACTGCTGGCCTGCAACAGGTACAACAAAATATGCCTTGCTTGAAATATTTCAGCACTTACTGAGCAATTCTTTGTTTTGGTCCTTCTGAGCCAGGGCCTGAAGTATTGCAGCACAGAGCTGAGGGTGCTGAACAACCCACTCAGCTTGGCCAGATCTCCATTAGATCCTGGGATTGATTCTTATTTTCTCTCTTGACTCCTGTGAAAAATGCATATTTTATGACTGGCTTTTCGCAAATGTTACAATGAATATTATATGTGCAATGTTAGAAAGTTATGCTGTATTAATTCTCTTAAGTAGTGTTTTAAATACAGTTTCAGGTTACAACAATGTTAAAATAGAAACTCTGCAATATAGGATTTGTTACAAGCTCAAGCAGGAAGATGAGATAATCAAGAAACTCTTCACACAGAGATGTCAGTGAAGGGTGCCTATAAAAAGTTACAGCCTCCTTATCAGAAAAGAAAAACATTCTTCCACCTTCTCTCTGCCTTTTTGGAACCACCAAGATTAAGGAGAAGTTGACAAAAACCAGAAAAGTTCTTAATTTGTAAGGACTTTATGCATCATATATGAGATATATGAATATGCAACAGGCTACTGCTTTTAAGGTTATTCCTTTGTTCACAAGGGATGCTGTTTGTGACCTAGTGTCCAAGAACATCCAGATGCCTGCAATTCTTTGCTTTTTATTGTCTTGTAATTGCTCTAACTCTAAATTTTCTTACTCTAATTGTATTACTATTTTTATAACCATTTTATTATTATCAAACTTTTAAAATTTTAAAAGTCCAAGTGATTGGCATTTTTCACATCTCCTAAATTTATTAACCATAGAGTATCGAGTAAGGAAATAATTTCATTTATCACCTGGTTCTCCAGAAACCTGAAAAACAAAACAAACCAATCAAACAAACACACAAAAAAAAACAAACCAAAAAAAGAGAAAAAAAAAGAGAAAAAGAAAACCACATTTAAAAGGCAGATCCGCATCAGCAGCTGGTCCATCTCCTACAGGGGACCATATTCTAGTGCACTTTTGGTGCACTTGCCTGAACCTGTCAGGGCAATCGATGTTAGCACAAAAGATTTTTTTGTGAGGGAGAGGCAAGGGGAGGAGAAATAATGTTCTAGACAGCT